TATTTTATTTATCTGTTACTGTATTATAGTTTATTTATTTTCAATGGATCACAAACAATGTTTGTTTGGTGAACATGCTCACCAAACATGGCCACCCTCTTCTTCCACCACCACCACCATGCTTGTCACCGCCGCCAACGCCACGCCATCACCGTCACCCATAGCCACCACCGCCAACGTCGCTCCTCGATCACCCATGGCCACCACAACCACCAACATCGACCACGACACCCTTCAACAACAATGCAGCGACGCCACGTCACGAAACAACGAGCGCCGTAACCCACGAAAACACCCAACACCCACGAAAACAACGCCCCTGGACACAAAACAACACCCGACGGGCACAAAACGACGCCCACCGCCCATGTACACCGCCAGCGCCCACAAAAACCATACCCCGCCCACGAAAACATCCCACCACCCACCGAAAAACACGAGCGCCCACCGAAAAACACGCGCCGCCCACCGAAAAACACGCACCGCCCACACGACACACGACGGCACCACGCCGCCTACCAAAACCACCACGTCCACACCAACGCCACCCACGACGACGCCCCCAACGGCAACCAGCGCCCACGACGACGGCGACGACAACGCCCACGAATAACGCAAAAACACGGACACACGACGAAAACGCGAACACGCGACGAGGAGACGACAACGAAATGCGACACAACAATGGGACGCCAACGCAGGACGACGACGATGGCCGAGGTCGCAGCCACACTCCCTCTACCCTCCACCATTCCCTTCCTCCTTCCCCCTTTCCTTGTCCCTCCCCCTTGCTCCCTTCCCCCTTGCTCCACCATTCCCTCCCCCCTTTCCTCCCTCCCCCCTTTCCTCCCTCCCCCTTCCTTGTCCCTCCCCTTTCCTTCCTTCCCTCTTTCTTGTCCTTCCCTCTTTCTTGTCCTTCCCCCTTCCTCCCACCCCTCCCTTGTTCTTCCCCCTTCCTTGTCCCTCCCCTACCCCCTCCCTTTAAGATAAATTGTGTAGTGTGTGTAGTAATACATTTCAAATACATTACAACTCAATCTAGATCCAGCAATGCTAGACATCAGATCTGTCACAGGACATTGACAGCAGCTATTTCTGAGTTTCAGCAACAGCAAATGCAGGTCGACACACCACTATTCTACTATCGTTAACGGAATGTGATTTGATTAAACAGAACATGCTTGTTTTTGAATGGGAGGGAGGTATGTATGTTTGTGTACTTTTGACAATGTCTAGCAATAGGCTCGGAATCAGTCTTGGTGAAGTGTAGCTGGGCTCGAGACACGAGGTTTCTCAAAGCAAGTATAAGTACCAATTCAATTGAATCTGTATCTTTATTCGTGGCTGCAATGCTCGAGGTCATAAAGTTAGGTTGCGGGTGTGTGGTATGGTTGGAGAGGATTGGATGTGTTTTCTCTTCTTTTCCAATTGGAAACGGCAAAGTGTATCATACTGTGCTATATAGTATCATTACACAAAAGTTTGGTACAGCAGTGCGGGCCTCTCGTTCATCAGAATACAATTTATGTCGAAGGCAATGGAGGACACACTTCGCGGAAGCTTCTAGCCGGGTAACCAGTGGTGGCTGTACCTCGCCCTGTGGGAGTCAATGTGCTGGATCGGCGAATCTGACACCTCTTGCCCCACAGCCATAATTAGGTCCACCTGTTCATGGTGTGTCCTGTTTGCTAAAATTAGATGGATGGTGCTTCTACCGCTCCCTATGAATACCCACTAACAGCGTCATTACCAGCACCTCGGCGCACCCTATGAGTCGGCAGATTTTTATTAAAATTTGTGCTGCACACCTCCCTGTGCTTAGCTTTTTCAGATACACATACCCTTATGTATTTTGAGCTACCTGGAAGTTGTTTGGGATGAAATTATGAAATTATGAATGAGTCCCATTGATGGAAAAATGTAGGATGTTGTTTGGATGTTGTCCTATGTTGTCACGCTCATACTACTCCCTTCCCTGAAGTGTTATTAAGGGTCCAATGTGTCATTACCTAGCAGTGTTGTACAGGTCAGCCTGACTCGAGGTCAGAGACGTCATGGTCATCGGGGTCACGTCAACTGACTTGACGAGGTCAAGGGTCATGATGGGGGTCAGACCTTTTTCAGAAAGAGTAAGTATTGAGGCTCACGCCCATGTTTTTATTTGTTGTTTTGTTGTTTTTTTTTGTTCTTTGTTTTTACACAAGAGGTGCCAGATCCACCAATCAGGTAGGGGGACCCCCCCATGGGCAAATACAATAATTTGCGTGTCATGTTTGGTGGACGACAGGCCGGCACCGGAACAGCAGCATTTTAATTTATCTGAACGCTTCCACCAACCTAAAGCAAACACATCTTCATCAAAAGACATGTCCTTCTCGACATATCTACCTCATCATGGTGCGTTGATAATGTAAATAGTGGCCCCCGCCAGTCTTCCTTCTCTGTACATAGAAGTTCATTCTCAACTTCTCACCAATCGTTTACGACTTTTTGGACTTACAACAAAGAAAACTGGCCTCTCGAGAAAAGCGGCACTTCCAACACTCATCAAGTTCTTTGCTCGCGATGCAATGAATACATCAATCATGGCCAGGACATGCATATGTATGTTCTGCTGGAGAACCATCAAAAAAGTACAAAATGTAGATT